TTACCGACTGGACCACGATAAACAAGGTCCAGCTATGCCGGGAGTGGTGCATCACCAACGCCACAGACGGTTGCTACCTGAAAAGCAAGCCAAATTCTACGCCCCATTGGATCCGCACGGGCGGGCCCAAGTACTGGGCATGGATTGTATGATCCAGAAAAGGGGGACTGGCGCGAAGGTCTCGGGGGGGGTCCCGCTTCTCACACTACCAAGCTTGTCACTCACCTTCTGCGCGCCCTGAGCCCCCTTGAAGGGAAGGACACGCAACCCAATGAGTTCCCCGCCCAGGGGCGACGACTGCGCACGCCCACGCTACAAGGCAGTCAGCTGTGCGGTCCAGGACGATCTTCCCTGATGCGTCCCCGACATCACCTTCTTCGGGGCCGAAGGTGGAGGCTCTTCTTATCCATTGTCTGTTCCCCGTCTTGCTTCCTTGTCTCAGTGTTTCCATTCACGTTACAGGCGCTGTCCCGCAGGCGTGCAAATCATGTCTCTCTTGGCCCCCTCAGGGTCACCGATCTGTGGAAGGTATGTAGCACCGCCTCGAGTTTCATTGTTGCTGCATGCCCATGAAGTGAAAGGCGGAGGGATGAGGATGAGGATGAGGATGATGATGAGGATGAGGACGAGGATGATGATGATGATGATGATGATGATGATGATGATGATGATGATGATGATCATGATGATGATGATGATGATGATGATGATGACGACGACGACGACGATGATGATGATGATGATGATGATGATGATGATGATGAGGAGGAGGAGGAGGAGGAGGAGGAGGAGGGGGAGGAGGAGGGGGAGGAGGAGGAAGAGGACGAGGAGGAAGAGGGAAGAGGAGGATGGACATAGGGTGAACTTCCGATGTAGCAGAGAGATCAAGGACACGGGACGGGGTACCAAGCGCAGTGTCTTCGCATTGCTGTTTCTTTTTCTTCATTCGTGTCCCTGCTACTCTTCGAGATCAGGAGGGAGCCCCCAGCACCGGGCGACGAGATCTATATGTATCCACCGCCCCGTGCCGTGCCCATCCTGGAGCCAGGAGCGGTGTGTGTGTGTGTGTGTGTGTGTGTATGTGTGTGTGTGTGTATGTATGCCTCCGTCTGTCAGCTAGACCGGTGGCGGCCTTTACGCCTTGCTGCGTGCGCCCTGACATGGGGTGCAGGCTGGCATGGCCGCGGCCTTTTGATTTTTTGCATCCTTGCGTCGCACCTGGGTGTTCGCGTCCGCACCTGGGGCTGCAGTTTGCTGCCCGTGCTGGGCTTTCAGCTGTATGTCAGCTTGCTCTGCCGGCAGCGTTCCTCCGCGGTGGTTCGTCGGGGGGTCGCTCGCCTCGCCGTCGTCGGTCGGTCGCGGGTCGGCCGTGTCGTGGGGTCTTCCGCCGTCGTCTCTCCGGGCTCCTCTCTTGCTTTAGTTGCCCTTGCTGCGTCTCCCCCCTTTTCCCTTCTCCTCCTTCCGGGTCGTTCCCACCGTGGGGGTCTGTCTCCTTCTGTTTGAGCGTTGGTATATCCCGTTGGCGGGTTTGCTTTGCTCGTCTTCTCTTTAACGCTGTCGCCGTTTGGTCGGAGTGGTGCGACTTTTGCGGTGATGCGCGCAGTCTCTCTTGGGCCTTGTTGGTTGCTCCATCTTGTTGGTTTTGCTGTCACCTGCCTCGCCGGTAGCCCTTCGCGGCTGTGGTCGTGGTTAGGGTTTGCTTTTAACGCTGGCACTTGGTTTGCACTGCACGTCGGCCATGCTCGCGCCGTTTCGCGGTTGCTGCTCGCGGTCGTTCGCGTTCAGCTTGTTTTTTCCCAACCCTCCTGCGTTGGGTACTCGTTTTGAATAGAGCACTGCGGTCTCCACCTTCCTTCCCGCCTCCTCCTCCTCCTCTTCCCTCCACCTCGCCATCCCTGGGTGGCTGCGATCTGCGAGACTGTCGTCGCTTTCGAGGGCTGCTGGGGTGGCCAGCGGAGTGACGCCCCACGGGGACTCAGATTAGACCTCGCCATCCCTGGGGGGCTGCGATCTGTGAAACTGTTGCCACTTTCGAGGACTGCTGGGGTGGCCAGCGGAGTGACGCCCTACGGGGACTCAGATTAGACCTCGCCATCCCTGGGGGGCTGCGATCTGCGAAACTGTCGCCGCTTTCGAGGGCTGCTGGGGTGGCCAGCGGAGTGACGCCCTACGGGGACTCAGATTAGACCTCGCCATCCCTGGGGGGCTGCGATCTGTGAAACTGTCGCCACTTTCGAAGGCTGCTGGGGTGGCCAGCGGAGTGACGCCCTACGGGGACTCAGATTAGACCTCGCCATCCCTGGGGGGCTGCGATCTGTGAAACTGTCGCCACTTTCGAAGGCTGCTGGGTGGCCAGCGGAGTGACGCCCCACGGGGACTTAGATTAGACCTCGCCATCTCTGGGGGGCTGCGATCTGCGAAACTGTCGCCACTTTCGAGGGCTGCTGGGGTGGCCAGCGGAGTGACGCCCTACGGGGACTCAGATTAGACCTCGCCATCCCTGGGGGGCTGCGATCTGCGAAACTATCGCCACTTTCGAGGCCTGCTGGGGGGCCCAGCGGAGTGACGCCCTACGGGGATTCAGATTAGACCTCGCCATCCCTGGGGGGCTGCGATCTGTGAAACTGTCGCCACTTTCGAGGCTGCTGGGGGGCCCAGCGGAGTGACGCCCTACGGGGATTCAGATTAGACCTCGCCATCCCTGGGGGGCTGCGATCTGTGAAACTGTCGCCACTTTCGAGGGCTGCTGGGGGGCCCAGCGGAGTGACGCCCTACGGGGATTCAGATTAGACCTCGCCATCCCTGGGGGGCTGCGATCTGTGAAACTGTCGCCACTTTCGAGGGCTGCTGGGGGGCCCAGCGGAGTGACGCCCTACGGGGATTCAGATTAGACCTCGCCATTCCTGGGGGGCTGCGATCTGTGAAACTGTCGCCACTTTCGAGGGCTGCTGGGGGGCCCAGCGGAGTGACGCCCTACGGGGATTCAGATTAGACCTCGCCATCCCTGGGGGGCTGCGATCTGTGAAACTGTCGCCACTTTCGAAGGCTGCGTGGGGGGCCCAGCGGAGTGACGCCCTACGGGGATACAGATTAGACCTCGCCATCCCTGGGGGGCTGCGATCTGTGAAACTGTCGCCACTTTCGAAGGCTGCTTTGGGGGCCAGCGGAGTGACGTCCTACGGGGACTCAGATTAGACCTCGCCAGCGCTGGGGGGCTACGATCTGTGAAACTGTCGCCACTTTCGAGGGCTGCTGTGGGGCCCACGAAACTGTCGCCACTTTCGAGACCTGCTGCGGGGTCCAGCATAGTGACGTCCTACGCGGACGCAGATTGGACCCGTCATTCTACTTCGATTATCCCGCATCTGCGATCGACTGTATGTGTGCGAGGAACTAGACATGGAGTGGTCTGGCACTGACTGACGTCAAATCGTTGTGTGCCAGTGTCTCCTGGGGTGTTGCCTGATGTGGATGCAGCTCGTCGGCGCTGCGACTCGAGCTGGCGGTCGTCCTTCGGACCCGCAGAAACATCTGCTGAGCTCGATGAGCTAGGGGAACTACAGGAAAGAAGTGCAGGAAACGGAGGCCGGTCATGCACTCGCCGATACCTCGTTGCTCTGTCATCGTCTTTGCTGTTGCATGATCCTTATCTGGCCTGCCGGCGCCGCGGCTCGAGCTGGCGGTCGCCCTTCGGGCCCGCGGGAACATCTTCTGAGACAAGTGGACGCCGCCGCCTTACTTGCAGGCAGCGCATTGCATTCGCGGACAGCAGCATGGCAGACCGCAGTGAGATCCTCAGTCGCGTGGTGTTGCCAAGCCTGGTGGAGACGCGCGTGATCGACCTGAAGTCCCAATCGCGCGTGCACTGTACCTGCGTGGCGTTCAGGCACGCGCGTGATGCTGCTCGCTCCGCGTTCAACCAGTACGTCGCCAGTGCAACTTTGGACGATGGACAACCGATTGATGATACGCGACCCCGGCCTTGAGTTTCTTTCCCGCGGGCCGCCCGCAGACCTGGCGGCGCGCCTGCGAGCGTTCAGCTCCCCCGCTGAAATGTGCGGGAAGGAGGCGGAGAAGCTGGCGGGCGAGCTACGCCTCGCTCGTTCCTTGCACTCTAAACAAGTTTTATCCAGTGGAATTCTGCGACGACCTGGCGCAGGCAGCGCTGCGGGTGGCGCAGGCAGCGCTGCGGGTTTAGCTCGCACTTGAAAAAACGCGGCAGTCTTCTGTCTCCTCCCGCCGCTTTCATCGTCGTCCTATTCCCCGCCTCACCTTCTCCATGCATGCTGCTGCTTCCGCGATGGCCTTTCGCCCCCCCCGCCGTCCATTCCATCCCTCTCCTACCCTTCGTTCCCGTGCCCGTTCTTCTTCGATCCTGGGGCCTCAATCCTCGTTCTTTCGATCGTCGTCCTGTGAATCGTGCAACGCATGCGCATCCCATGTAGCTTGCACAGCAAATCGCCGCGTCTACACTGTCGTTGTTCCTGCTAACGTTGGCATACTCCTCTTGCCATTTGATGCACGTGGGGTGGGTACGTCGCAGGGTAATTGCTGTCCTAGGCTAAACCAGCCTCGGCCGCGTGTTTTCCATCACGCCGATCCGATCTCAAGTGCCCTGTTGCACGGTCGCATACTTTGTTCTTTGCTTGCTGCAAGGGCGGTGGCGTTGCTCTGTGTTTCAAGCTACCCGCGCCGAGCTTATGTTCCTTGGTTTTTTTTTGGACGCCTCACTTTGGCATTACAGCGCCTCCCGTTTTCCACCACCAATCTGCATGGCCGTGACTGGACTCTTACATCTTAGTGCGTTCGACTAAGCTCGTTCGCAATCGGCACCTCCACCTGCCGACTGCGCCTGAGGTCCCTCTGCACCGCCGACGTAAAACGCGTGTGTGTGTGTGTGTGTGCTTCCCTGCCCAAGCCAGGAGGGCGCGTACACCGCTCGTGGGCCCAGGATTGGCTTGGCCACTGGCAGCAGACATGGGTAGCTCTCGCCGCCCCACAGCAGCCGTCTGCGGCTGCCGCGGCCGCCTCCCCTCCGCCCCCCCCCGCGGCGGGCGGCGGGCGGGCGCGGGCCGACCCCCCCCTCGCCGGGCCTCTCCGGCCAGCTTCGCCCGCGTGGCGGAGAGGCTGCTGCCCGGAAACAACGCTCGGGTTAATCGGGCCTGCTCCTCGACAGAAGGAATATGCCCAAATAGTAAAACAAATAGGTCGGGGACGATTTTCTGACTATTTTTGACCCTTTTGGGTTTTGTTTTTTGTGACTCCTTTGGATTTTACGCCTAAGATCCCCCTGGTAGGGGGACAGGCCCGACCTAACGCTAGGGAGGTATGGGCTGCGGGAGAGGCGCACCGCGGTTCGATTTTCTCCGGACGGCTTCGTTGGTTCTCGACAGTCTCCCGGCCCTGCAGGATGCCTTCCCGCGGCTGCGCGCCGCCGAGGAGGGCGCTCCGGGGGCGCCCACAGCGCCGGGAGCGGCCGCCAGACCGCCAGAGGTCCGAGTTATGGCCCGCAGGCCAGGTGCGAAACGCCGGGGGGTCGGGGGACGGGCTCAGGGGGGGCCGAACGAAAGGGGAGGATACTCCAGATTTCGTAATAAAAGGGAGGGGGGTCTCATTTCGGGGGGGGTCTCTTCCAGGCTATCTTGGAGGGCCTGGGGGGGTCTGGGGACGATGTTTTGGAGGTTTCTCCCACGGGGGAGGTCTGAAATGGCTTGTCTTGGAGGGTCCAGACCCCCTCCCTTTTATTACGAAATCTGGAGTAGGAAAAGGGGGGGGGTTACGGAAATCTGCTGCATGCAGCTGGTTTTTCGGCCCCGCCGCCGGGCCCCATTCCTCGATACACGGGCGCCTCCCGGCGTGAGCTGATTCTCCCCCCCCCCCCTTGGCTATCCCCCCTTTTCGCCCGGCCCGATCAGAGGGGGCATGCATCGGCCGATTGCCCCAACCTGCCCAGGAAGCGTGCGGATTCGCCCTCGGGGGCATATCGCCGATCTGTCGGCGACGTATCGCCGATTCCAGGTCGATGTTTCCCCCCTGGGCTTAAGTCGGGCCTGTCCCTCTACAGGGGGATTTTTGGGGAAAATTTAAAATACTAAACAAATGCCCCCCAAATACTCAAAAATAGTAAAAGATCGTCCCCTGACTTTTTGTTTGTATTATTTTTTGAATCTCCCCCCTGTAGAGGGACAGGCCCGACTTAACCCTGGGCTGGTCCCCCCCTTACGTTCCCGATCAGGGCTGTGCGGGTCGCTGTGTGGGCGCCAGGGCTTCCGTAGAAAGTCACGGGCAGCGGGCGTATCCGTATCCACGCCCTCGAGGTTTGGATCCCGCCGGGGTCCCGTGGACGCGCGGTCGCGTGGCTGCGTTCCGTGCGGGGCGTCCGCGAACATGCCCCTCGTATCCACAGGGTCGCGGCCCATGGGCCCGGCTCGCAAGGCCGTGGATGTGGACACGCTTCCCGCCCGCGAGTGAGGTCGAGGCCTCCAGAGCTCTGGTCGGACCCCCAAGAAGTGTCCGATCCGAGGGTCCGCCCTCCCAGGTCCTGAACCTCGGGCTGGGCTGGGTCGGGCTTCCGAGCGCCGTGCCGAAGCATTCGCTTGTGACCAGAGATGTCTGCCAGGATCCGGGGAGGCCGAACCCCTCGGGCCTGCGCTGTCGGCAGGCCACGATCGGTCAAAGGTTGAGCGACTCACGCGGTGTTTGACGTCATGGCCGAATCCGTCGCGACGCGAACCCGCCGTGCCCGCCCCGGGCTTCGCCAGGTGCGCCAGCAGTCGCCCCGCCAGCCTCGGGCGGAGTCTCCGAGCTCCGGCGTCGCGGCAAGAAGCCGACGTCGTGCGCCGTCGGGCCCGATCCATCCGCGAGGGCCCCCGGGGCCCGATGACAGGGCGGGCCTGCCTGGCGAGGACAGACAGCAGAGGTCGCCAGGCATCGCCGGCTGCAAAGGAAACTGTGGCGCGGGGGTGTGGTTTACGATCGGCGCCGTTGGGGCCCGCGTGGGCACGACACGGTTCTCGTCGGGCCGCCTCGGGGCGTGGCGGAGAGCTCTGTCGGGGTCCTCGCCCGCCCCCCAGGGTGCAGACCGACCCCCCGGGGCTCCTGGGGGGCCAGTTGCAGACCACACCCCTTGCAAACCACACCCTTCCGAGTCGAACCTCCATCCAAGGCCATCCTCGCGCCTCGCTCCTCCTCCTCCTCCTCCTCCTCCTCCTCCTCCTCCTCCTCGGCATCCTCCCGATTCTCGTCTCGATCCTCCTCCTCATCCTCCTCCTCCCGATCCTCCTCCTGCTCCTCCTCCTCCTCCTCCTCCTCGTCCTCCCGATCCTCGCCTCGATCCTCCTCCTCCTCCTCCTCCTTCTCCCATTCCTCCTCCTCCTCCTCCTCCTCCTCCTCCCGATCCTCGCCTCGATCCTCCTCCTCCTCCTCGTCCTCTTCCTCCTCCTCCTTCTCCTCCGCCTTCCGATCCTCGCCTGGCAGTCAGAGCTCGGCCGAGATTCTCGGGCGCAGCCTCCCCGCCTCTGGTGGCCTCGGCCTCGGGGGGGGGGGCGCCCGTCGTGCGGGCCATGGGCGTCCGCGTGAACCTCGCCTCCAACAGGCGCCCCGTCCCGCTTCTCCTCGGCCTGGCTCCTGGCATCGCTCGGACGTGTGCAGTTTTTTCTCGGCGAGGACCCTGGAGGACCGTCCTGGATCCTCGAGCAAAAAGAACACGCGCGAAACCGAAACATGCACGGGAAATGGACGTCCCAGCGACGGCAGGGGCTCGTCTCCAGATCTTCGGCGTCTTCGTCCGGTCCCCGCGGTCTTCCAGCCTCGGGGTGCGCTCCAGCAGCTGCGCGCCGCCGAGGTGCGCTCCGGCGGTGATCAGGGCGTCCCGAGCGGCCGCGGAGCCGCTCCGGCGGTGCGCCGGGAGGGGAGGAGCTCTAGGGCGCAGGGCGGGCTTCTGAGAGCCATCCCCTGCTCTCCAAGGGGCGAGGAGCCCTCGGTGGCTTCGGAGAAGGCTCCGAAAGCTGCTCTCGGAAGGCCAGATGCCTTCTGAGCCTCCTGTGGAGGCCCGCCCCCGCTTCCCTCCCCCCCCCCTGGGGCGCGCCGTCGCTTCTCCTCCTCCCGACGGGTGTGTGCTCTTTCCTGCGATCTTTCCCACCTAGGTTTCAGTCGGGCCTGTCCCTCTACAGGAGGAAGGTTCAAAAATAGTCAAACAATAGCATGGGGACATTTTTTAAAAGATTTTTCGACCATTTGGGGGTATTTTTTGTCAATTCTTTATTCTTCGTCCGAAATCCCCCTGTAAGCCTGTACGGGGCCCGACCTAAACCTAGGTGTCCGCAAACGGAGCACGAGGAATAAAGGATGACGATTCGGTCTGCTCTGGCCTTAGTATCGAAGACGCCTACCGCGAGCTACCTCCTCTGCCCGCCCTCGAGAGGAATCGCATGGCACGGTATTGTTTTCCCTACCTAGGCTCTGCCTAGAAGGGTTCTTACCCTCTGGGCTTAAAGGGCCGGGCAGTGTAATGCGCCCCGGGCGGTTCCCCCGGCATCCGCCCCGCGGTTCCCCCAGTTACGTCCCCTTAGCTTTAGCTTTAGCTTTAGCTTTAGCTTTAGCTTTAGCTTTAGCTTTAGCTTTAGCTTTAGCTTTAGCTTTAGCTTTAGCTTAGCTTTAGCTTAGCTTTAGCTGTGATTTAGCTTAGCTTTAGCTTAGCTTTAGCTTAGCTTAGATTAGTTGTAGCTTATATATAGCTTAGCTTTATCTTAGCTTTAGCTTAACTTTAGCTATCTTTAGCTTAGCTGTAGCTTAACTGTAGCTTAGCTTTAGCTTAGCTGTAGCTTAACTTTAGCTTAGCTTTAGCTTAGCTTTAGCTTAGCTTTAGCTGTAGCTTAGCTGTAGCTTAGCTGTAGTTTAGCTTTAGCTTAGCTTTAGCTCAGCTTTAGCTTAGCTTTAGCTTAGCTTTAGCTTAGCTGTAGCTTAGCTTTAGCTTAACTTTACCGTTACTAGTAATGCTGCTTTCCTAGGGGCTCCAACTCCTAGATAGGGTCGCACTGGGATAATTTAGTAGCTAGTCCGTGGGAAGACTGCAACTGTCTGCCACTGGCGCGGACCCCGATGCTATTGCTCGTCACAGGTGCCGACTCTGACAGCTATCCTCGCCGTATCACATCGCTTGCCATGTGGGCCAGCAGAGAGCATCCGCTGACCCACTGAGCAGGCCTGAATCCCGAGAGTCAGAAAGTTGCGCAAGTCGCCATGCGCTTTCCAACACAAGCTTGGCTGGTGACTTCTGCCGCTCTGGCTCTCATTGTTCGCAGTCCAGGCCGTGACGGCTCTCTTTACCGGGTCTGCTGATATGAGGCCTTCCTCGCCGCCCTTGCCCTTCACCTCCTGTCCGATTCCCGATTTCTCTCCCCCCTCGCCTCGCCTTCTTCACATCTCGATAGAATCTCCAGAGGGTTATGGCCCAACGTTCTTAGCAAGGCTGAGAAAGTGGCCGACGTTAAAAACTCGCTTCGCGACTGGGCGCATGTCAACATCACCTCGCCTCATTCCCTCTTCTCGCCTTGCTTTCCCGGCGCCTCGTTTTAACAGGGGTTGCTCTCCTTCCTGCCCGCTGCTCCCGCGTCCGCCCCCCGCCCGCCCCCCCCACTTCACTTCCAGCCCCATGGTTCCCCCGCTCTCCCACTCTTTCGTTGACCCCCGCGGCACCTCCGCCACTCGGCGGCGAGCGAGCGGGGGAAGTGAGAAGGAGAAGGCCTTCTCAGAAGGCGGCGGGGCCTGCCAGAAGGCCTCCAGACTTCTGAGAGGCTTTCCTGTGTCTTCGGGGAAGGTTTAGAGAAAATCTCAGAAGGCCGGAGGACTTTCCGAGCCTTCTGAGGAGGCCCGCCCCTTCTCACCCCGGGGCTCGCCGCCGACAGGCGCGAGGAGGGGGAGGCAGAGGGAGCAGGGGAGCGGGTGGTGGTGGTGGTGGACGGTGGCATCGCGGCCTGCGCGTGCTCAGGTCGCTGACGAGTGCATTGCACATGTTGCGCCGCGCATACTGCGCCGCACATGTTGCACCACGCACTGTGCCCCACGTAGACTGCGAAGCACAGGTTGCCATAAACAGTCTGTTTGGGGTCCGCGCTGGCTAGCATTCCGAGTCTGCTCTTCTTGCTAACGAATGTCGTCTTGTGTCACAGCGTGTCCACCAAATTGCCGGTTGCAATCCTCGTCCCTCCTCTCCGCCGTCACCTTTGCGAGCGCCGCGATCAGGGACCGAGGGAAACGTGCGATCGTCATCGTAGACGCGCCGCTGCAGCTGGAGCAGCTGCAGAAACTGTCGAAGAACAAGCTTCGCCTGAAGGCATGCAGGGGGACCGTTGACGGATGGTGGGTTGGCTGCAGCGGTTGATTGATCGAGCTGCCTTTCGGCAGTTCCAGGTGTGCGATGGGCACGGCGGCCTGCAGGTGAGGTAATGTTTCTGAAGCTGCGAGTGGTTGCGGGTGCCGTCGAGGCAGTTGCGGCATTTTGAATCTCTTGACGTCTTTCACGAGGTTGATGTATGTTGAAGACGCCTCCGGCGAGTCCCCACTGCCTTCTGCCTTTCGGAAGCGCCTGTGTCACGTGTCGTGAACTGCCGCGCGAACGTGCGGCCATTCTAATGGGTTGCGTGTTCCCCCAAGTTCCCCCAGCTGTTGGGGAAACTACTGGGGACGCAGTGGACAGAGGCTCCCTGGGGCCATCTCGGGGCTGCTTTGGGAGTCATTTCGGGCCATATTCGGGTTCCCTGCGGCCGTCTTAGGGCGCTACTGTGCAGTATGACGTCTTCGGATGCAGTCTTGGAGACCTCTCTGAGCCCTGTTGGGGCCATCCTGGGGCCGTCTTGGGGAGCCGTCTTGGGGCCCTCTTGGCTCTCCCTTGAAACGTCATGGTCCGATCTTTGGTGCCTCTTTGTGGCGTTTTGAGCGTCCTGAAGCCCGAAATGGTTTCTCCATTCGGCATACCTGTACGCCAAACTGATGTTTAATTACGGCCTGGGGGTCTTACTAGCAGACCGCAGTAGCCCTATTAGTAAGGACTTCATGTCTGGGAACCTCTTGAGGAGGCCTCGCCACGACGGCTACCGAACGCACGAAGTAGCCCTACTAGTACGCACTTCTTGAAGCTCTACTGGCAGGCCGTAGTCATCCTTCAAGTAGTTTTGTTTGTTTGTTTGCTTGTTGGTCGTTTGTTGGTTTGCTTGTTTGCGTTTTTGTTTGTTTTTGTTTGTTGCTGCTGTTGTCATTATTGAATTCCGAGTGCATTTCGAGCGGGAGGCATCCCCACGCGGCTGTTGGGCTAACAGTGAGACCACGGGGAATCCTAGATTGTGCAACGCAACCGCTGTGTGCACCTAGGAGGATGATGAGGAGAAGGATGAGGACGAGGAAGTCACGGGAGAAACATACTATGGGGAGAAGGAGGATGAGCAGGAGCAGGAGGTCGGAGAAGGAGGAGGAGGGGGATGAGTAGTAGTAGTAGTAGTAGTAGTAGTAGTAGTAGTAGTAGTAGTAGTAGTAGTAGTAGTAGTCGTAGTAGTAGTCGTAGTAGTAGTAGTAGTAGTAGTAGTAGTAGTAGCAGCAGCAGCAGAAGTAGCAGTAGTAGTAGTAGTAGTAGTAGTAGTAGTAGTAGTAGTAGTAGTAGTAATAGTAGTAATAGTAGTGGTAGTGGTAGTAGTAGTATTGGTGGTAGTAGTAGTAGTAGTAGTAGTAGTAGTAGTAGTAGTAGTAGTAGTATTAGTAGTAATAGTAGTCATAGTAGTAGTAGTAGTAGTAGTAGTAGTTGTTGTCGTAGTCGTAGTCGTAGTCGTAGTCGTAGTCGTAGTCGTAGTCGTAGTCGTAGTCGTAGTCGTAGTCGTAGTCGTAGTCTTAGTAGTAGTCGCAGTCGTAGTCGTAGTCGCAGTCGTAGTCGTAGTCGTCGTCGTCGTCGTCGTCTTCGTCTCCGTGCAGCCCGCAGAGCTTCGCGATGTTAGTGATCATGTTCCTGTCTATGCTATCATAGCTGTGCAGTCTCCCAACTCGTGCGCAGTCATTCCCAAGTGGGTATGCCGTCAGCCTGGGTTCACATGGAAGGTAGAAAAGCTGATCGAAGAGATGGGAGTCTCCGAAGATCCAGCTATTGCAGTTTCTGAGGTGAAGTCGATAATGCATTTAACGGCGTCGGACATTAAGAATGAATCGTGCTCGGCTAGCTCGAAAACAATCGGTCACAACATACCGTGGTGTATGATGTATGATCGTGCTCGTCGTCGAAATGATGTGGGAAAACAACGCTTAGCTGTTCGCCGCTTTCCCAAGCCTATAGATTTCGTTGACGATGACGCGAATTTAGTGAACCCTGATGCTTTTTACGCATACCTGGCAGAGACAAGTCGTCTTGAACTTGAATGCGATCGTCAGGAGTTTTTAAATGATAAGGAGCTTCCCCATCAGGCTAGGACATCGGGTCTTGCAAACATTGAACGTCTGTCTCGTGCTTGGGCCCCCCGTCACAAGCAAGTGCTGTTGCAGGGAATTTTGGACCCAAGCGGTAACACCCACACTGACCCCCAAGTTTGTGCTAACCTGCTGCAGGACCACTGGGCGAAAGTTGCCCAACCTTTTCGTCCCTGCCAGGACAGTATGCGTTCTCTGCGTACATGGATCCAAGCAACTCCTCAGGACATTATGTGGACAGTCGACGAAGACCTTTTTGATAAGCTTCTAGATAAGTCTCGGGATTCTGCCCCAGGATTGGATGGTATTCCGTACTCTGGTTGGAGGTTTGGTGGGCCGAGGGCGAGGGGTATATTGTATGCGCACTATCGTCGCATCATTGACACTGGGCAGATTCCCGATGAATTTAATGATGCTTTCCTGGCCTTTCTTCGCAAGGGAGCGCTGGAGGCAGAGCCGTCTCGCGCGCCTGAGCATGCCCGACCGCTTGCATTAGGGAACACGGATTGTAAGCTGATTTGCAGTGCGTTCGCACAGCCGCTGAATATTGTGGCCCGCCGTACTGTCGATAGAGAACAACGTGGTTTCGTTGGAGGGCGCTCTCTGGTGGATATTGTACTAGCTTTGGATTGGAGATACACCCATTATGCTGCTTATGAAAAGCCCCCTCTCCTGGAATGGCTTTTTTTATGATATCAAGCAAGCTTTCCCTAGTTTCTCACATGATTGGATTTTATATGTATTGAATGGAATGGGTATCCCTGATTGGTATTGCCGAATCGTGAAAAACCTGTACGATAACATGTACATGCACGTACGCTTCAAGGGGCGCATTTTTGGCAAGTTCAAGGTTGAGCGTGGCATTAAACAAGGGTGTCCTCTTTCTGGTCTTCTGTTTGCTCTCGGTCTTGATCCCTAGTTCAGGAAGATACGGCATAGTCTTGAGGTAGTCCGCGCTCATCCTTGCGCCTATGCTGATGATCTCGGCATCGTTGCATTTGATCTTGGTGCTGCGCACTCTGTCATGGTACACGAGTTCGTGCTGCTCGCCAAGTGCACGGGCCTGTTCCTTCACCCCTCGAAGTGCCAGTTTGTGTTGCCGCACGACCGTGCGGAAGGCGCCTTCCGCAAGGACTGCAGGGAAAAACGAATCCGCCTCAGATCCTCCAAAATCAGTCGTGCTGGGCTTTACCTTGGGGTCTTCCTGGGTCTTGAGGGCGTTTCTTTGAGTTGGCAAGGCCCGTGTCGGGCCCTCCTCCGTCGTGCCAGGTATGTTAAAAGCCTCTGTTTAGGCCTTGCAGGAAATATTCACATGTATAACGTCTAGTGTCAGCCCGTTGTTCAACACGTTGCCCAGTTTTATCCTATTACTGATCATGTTCGAGTTGCTGAGCGTGAGGCTCTCCAGCAACTCCCAGTGGCTCCGAGATTCTCGCTATCTAGTGCGATTCTATGTGACCTGAAGCGCTTTGGCATCACCTGTGAAGCTCGTGCAGTGGAGCCCTCTGCCCGTGCCGCTCTGTTCCGTGCTGCTCTGCGCTCTGATGAATTTGCTCGCGGTCGTGAATATCTGGAAGAGTTTACTCGACATGATGATTGTGAACTATTTCATAAGAGATATCCCACATATCGGAGCTCTTCTTTCATCCAAGTACGTACCAACTTCGAGTCCCTTATCGTCATTCCCAGTATCCCCACGGAGCTCACCAATGGCCTCCAGAGTAAAATTGTGAGATTCCTGTCCCGTCTCTTCTACCCCCTCCCCTCTGTTCGCTCCTTTGGTGCCCGTCTGAACTACTGGTGCCCCCTCTCCCCGCAGCAATGTGATGTAACGATGACTAGGCTTTGTAGGATTGGTCAGAAACTCGGTTCTTGTGTAGCGAGCTCAGTGTTAACAACGCTGTGCAATGCTTGGGCCACTTCCCGGCGGTTCCGTGCTGGCCGTGCTGGATGTAGGTTTGGTTGCTACGCTGTTGGAGGAGACGATATCCTTCATTATTTTGTGTGTCCGAATCTGATCCCCCGTGTCCGTGAGTGCCTTCCATGCCTTCCCCCGTGCTGGGGTTTGGATCCTATTCCCTCCTTTGTCCTCGCGCTTGCCCCTCTCATCGAATCTGACAGCCTGCTCAGTGTCGGTCTCGCTATAGATGCCGTGCGTGCCTCTTTCAACGCCCAGAGAACTTCTGGGTCAATCGGTCCCAGGTCTGCCCGCCTCTCACTGTCTGCCCGTCTGAGGGCCAATGCAATCAGATGCTCTGTGGCTCGTTCTTTAGTTCGAGGTCTTCGAGGCGCGGGGATGGACGATTAGCGGACGGACTTTCTTGCCCTCTTCTCGCCCTCTTGCCCGCTTGCCCTCGTCTCGTTCTTCCAAGCCGAGTCATGTGTCGTCGTCTTCGTCTTCGTTGTCGTCGTCGTCGTCGTCGTCGTAGTAGTGGTAGTAGTGGTAGTAGTGGTGGCGGTGGTGGTGGTGGTGCTGGTGGTGGTGGTGGTGGTAGTAGTAGGTGGTGCAATAGTTGTAGTAGTAGTGGTGGTAGTAGTAGTAGTAGTAGTAGTAGTAGTAGTAGTAGTAGTAGAAGTAGTAGTAGTAGAAGTAGAAGTAGTAGTAGTAGTAGTAGTAGTAGTAGTAGTAGTAGTAGTGGTAGTAGTAGTAGTAGTAGTAGTAGTAGTAGTAGTAGTAGTAGTAGTAGTAGTAGTAGTAGTAGTAGTAGTAGTAGTAGCAGTAGAAGTAGTAGTAGTAGAAGTAGTAGTAGTAGTAGTAGTAGTAGTAGTA